TGCAATATGCTCCAATGCCTTGTCCTTCAACTGTTCAAGCTTTTCAAGCTCAAATGCCTCAGCAACATGCTCCTCAATATCTTTGATCGTCTGCCAATGGCGTATGCTAATATCTTTGCTCAATTTCTAGAGAAAAAGGCCATCATTCTGAGAGACCTAGCTTCCTCAACTGTCATCCCACCCGACTATGATGCAAATGCCCATTGTGAGTTTCATAAGGGCACTCAAGGGTATACAATTGAAAACTGCAGAGCTTTCAAACACAAAATTCAGGACATGATTGATAGGAATGCTCTCAATTTCAATGGGAAAACTCCAAACGTCATCAACAATCCTATGCCATCGCCAAGCTAGTGCCAGCATCAGATCAAGTCAAGTTCATCTCCTTGAAGAAGGCAGTCATGTTGTCATTTCATCTTTTGCATTTCTTGAATTTTGTCATTTTAACTACTGTATGCTTTAAACATTGCTATTCGTATTTGGTTTTATTAATGTATTGATTATGCATGCTTTGAAGTTATGTCGTATTCACTCATTTTTTCCACTTACCACGAATCAAAAACACATTTTGTCCACTTCACTCTTTATCAACTTTTTTTTAGCATGATTTGAGGGAGGATGATGAAAACGAAATACCCATAATTGAAAACTGTATGCTTTCAGACAGAATCTTGTCGATGATGTTTAAGCATTATTTCAATTCCCCAAACACTGGAGAGACAAGGTGTTAGTCCCTAGTTAACCACTTCGAGCCTAGAAGTAGTAGTTTCCTTTGGATCTATAAACCCTACATTGAACCTGGGGCAGAGTAGTGTTTAGTTAATCCAATTACGCACTAGAATCAACAAAGCAAAATCCAAAGACATGATGGTTTTTCTTCAATAACCCATGACTTAGCAGTCACAATCCTCCAACAAAATCAAAAAAATCAAAAGCCTGCTAAGTTAAGCACCTCAAAGGAGACTTAGGCAAAAATCAAGGTAATCCCGATGGACCTGACAAGCGAAATCGGTCCATGCAAAAGTTTGGGATTTAAAAAAACAAAAACCAAAATCAAAAGAGGCCCTCAAACCCTCAGCAAAAACAAATAAGGTTCAGCAGCCACCATATCAAAGTCAAAGGGTCACTGATATACATCAAAAATAAAAATAAGGTGACTACCATTTCAAGTATACCTTGAATCATCATGCTTACATCGTCAACCCTTTTGGAAAAAAAACATATGCAGAATTAACTGAACGTAGGACTGGAGTTCATTACGAATAAGGGGTGAGTACAAATCATACTTTGAGCCTAATATCCTTGTGTTTCATAAACCGTGAATTAGACTATGTTACAACCCTCGAAAGACCTAATTAAGGCGATATTTATTCTAAAAGCATACTATTGCAAGGTTGTGTAAACTGACTCCTCGCATATTTGCTAATCATCAGCATTGATGTCATTTTCCTTGCTATATCTTTCACACACTAATCAAATCAGCACAACGTCCGGACCAACGGTCCATTCATCTCACACTACACGACACTTCAATAAATGACTTTTTTTCAAAACTTGCATGAACTTTGCATTAAGATTACCATTTGTGAATGTGCAGTTTTAATTACAAATCAGTGCTAGACATCCAAGACACTCCAACAAGGGGAAATAAAAGAGGAACTTGAACTTTCAGTGGCTGATACGAAGCAAGGTTACCTCAAAACACACAGGATGGGGCAAATCTTTCAACAGCTCAATCAGGGGCAAGTCATCTCAGGGCACATCAGAGTTCAACTTCCAAAATCACGTCAGAACTGGTTAATCAGGGGCATACCATTACCATATTGCACTTGATATTTGATGGGGGGGGTCTCCCGAGTATATCAGAGCTTATTTGACTGATGGTCCATCCAAAACCTTGACTGATCAATCCCTTGAGCCTCTTAGGGAAAACTCTAACTCATAGGTGAGTAAAAACAAACATGTATTGATAATTGGTTAGCTATGCATGATTGACCCATGATGTTATGCAAATGATAAATGAATCTAGGGGTAAAATTTGGGGTATGACATCGGCTATTTGACGACATATCTTTATACTTCAGATGGCTGGCCTACGGATCGTGTATCACTACTTCTCATCTTCCCGGGCGCGTCATGCGGCAATTCAGGTACACCCACACCATCCCCATACACCATGTTATCTATGTTCTTCCTGCCTTGTCTCGTATACAAAAAGATGAGATATTTTCTGATTATCAGAGTCATTTGGTACCGGATGAGGCTTGGGTTACCATAACATCGAATGATTGGAGCTACGTAGACGGATACATCAGGTGGTTCTTCACAGTCTCACATTCGTATATGGTACCGAGTTCTCTAGGAGATCCGCCGAGACTATCTCATCAAGAGATTCTAGAGGAGTAGTAGGCTCAGCTAGATCATACTGAGAATGTCTTGCCTCAGTGTAATTGCATATTAAATATTGCACGGGCAGTCATTGGCGAGGCTATCTTCCCTAAGGGGTCTGCTGTTAGGCGAGTCCTGGATGCCATGGTTGCGGAGGCGCGTAGGACACTATTGTACCACAGACATCGTGCGAGGACAGGGTGGATCGATGGCAGAGGAGGTAGACCAGGCAGATGAGGCACGGGAGGCGGAGGAGTGGTTGTCAGGCATACCCAGTAGGAGCTTGTTATTATTTTGATGTAGTACTATAGTTTGTACTTTTTTTCTGACATTGTTACTACATTTTAGATTTGGTGTTGTACGATATTTTATTATTATTTTGTATGTCTGTTATTATATTCAACATCATTCTTCATAATTCATCTGAAAACAATTACACAGCTTGTTATAAAAAAACATGTTCTAATACAATTCGGAGATGTATCTCCAGAAAATTCCCGTAGATACATCTCCGAAAATATTTTTAAAAATGGGTTATAGGAGATATGCTTTGAACGTTTAAGGTTTAAATAGTTTCGGAGATATATTTCCGAAATATATTAACGTTTACTTAGAAGTAGAGTGTGTCCAGAAATATATCTTCTAAAATCCAATGACATAATAGAAATTTCACACGGTGAATAAAAAATGCACTGTGTAGAAAAAAAATTCTCAAAATTAAAGAACAAATATGAAATTCGTCTCAAACTTTCATATGTGTTAAGGTCGATCTCTTTTTCTCAATATAGAAAGAAAATCCAAATCTAATGCATTTTATTTTTAGAATTCATTTATTCACATTTCACTTTAAGAGAGACCTCACATTCACATTCACATTTTTCTCTTGCTAATTAAAATGAGAGTGAAGGCAATAAAAAATTAAGCATCTAAAAATAAATAAAAATATAAAATAATCCTACAAATTAAAACTACAAACACAATCAAACTCTCTTCTTATCAAGCAAAGTGTGAGTAGATCCAATCTATTTTAACTTGTAATAGTATCTACTAAGAGCTACATAAAAAAGAAAAGACAAAAAACTTAAAGACCTATATGGCACAAAGACGTAAATGTTGGGATTGGTGAATGAAATTCACACCCACAATCTGTATAATTGGTGGAATGGAGAGTGAATTTGTACACAAGAGAGTTAAAGGAATATTGACGTTACAACCTCTATCTATCTAGCTATAGAGTAGTTTCCCAAACTACTCCCAACCCTTTGTACAAGCTTTTCATTGATATTGGAAATTTCTCCATTGCAACTCCAAACGATTGTTCAAAAATATTTATCAGATATAAAATCCAACTGTTGAATTTTATTTCTGATAAATAACACATAACGTATCAAATGTGTTTGAAGTGGCTACGCTACAAATTATTCATATGAACAAAATCATATGGTGTTGATGAATTTGGGAGTCTTTATCAAACTGTACGGATCGTAATTGAGCAACTTTCAATTCACCAGTAACCATAACACAAGTGGTGCCACACAATTTACAAGCACATGATCATGTTAATAAATGTCATACTTAATAATGACTTGTGATAGTGAAATCCGCACGACTATATATCAAAAAATATTTATTTTTTATGTATAATTTTCTTCTACTATTATCTACATTTATTAAATGTATGGTCCTCATGTCCTTTTCTTGGTGAGTGAAGAAAATTATTCAGTTGTAGTTTTATAGAAATCAAGACCAACCATCTTGTTATGCAAATGAAATTGAAACTTACTTAGATGGGAAAGTATCAAAGGGTGTTGATAACTAACTGAATAAATTATTCCTCTGTCAAGAAAATGATGGCCAACCTTTAGAATCTTTAATTGGGTAAAGTGTTGGTTGCTTAAGCTTTTATTGTTATTTTGAGTATTCTCAAAGATAGTATGCTGAGAGATCATCATGTAGACAAGATTCTCTCTCCAATGTTTAGCCAGTGTAACATGTGTCAATCTAATATTAAGTTAATGTTTTTCGAATGGAACCTCGTTGCACGTATGATATGTGTTGAATATGACTTGTAGTATTACATATTATTTGTAATAGAGAAATTTTTGAAGTAATCATATGTAACTATAGTTGCTAAGTCGTAGATACACTTGGTTGAACTGCGTAAATAAATATTATGTTTGTTCCTTACGCTTTAAGTTTATGTTTATTCTTATTACTTGTTGCTCTTCTCTGAATATGAAAAGTAATATTATTTAATGCGTGTTTAGAAATATCCATTTTCACGGTAAAAATCTAGATCCACAGTAAAAGTTACAACGAAATGCCAAAATACGATTAAATTAGCATAAGTTTGAGAGTGAGTTTGATTAACTATCATCACCGAGTAATAATATTTCATCGTAAAAATGCACAGCGTACAATTTGTAGCTTGTAAATCAAGTCAAAACAAACATATACCTATCTTGCACAAATAAACATATGTGATGGCATAGACATGGAAAATGCACCATGGTAATGTCCTAATTACATCGATGAAACAGAAAAGAGAGTAGAAAAAACAAAGAAGAACAATCCTTATTTTACAATTCTCTACTAAAGACAATTGATTTGGCTCACAAATATGAAGAAGATTCTTGTTGTTTTGAATGAGGCAATGTAGTCTCTAAACCATCATCATGGCTCAAATTTGTAGCAGGCTTTCTCTGATTGCATAAACCTTCAAATGCTTGATTTTGTAGCATTAACATAGGATTTTGAAGATACTCATTCCACTTATCTTCTTCTTCTTCTGTTTGATTCTCTTTAATAGATGTCTCACAATCTGTCAACCCCCAAGGAGATAGCATACTATTCTTCATATGAAAAGAATCCGAAGAAATCGAAACATCTTCTGACGGAACATCAACAAGTGATGGTTTGTAGCAAAAAGAACTAGGTAGAAATGAGGTAAATTCTGAATTCATATCAAAAGGTTTTAATCCTGTTTGGTTGAACCAATGAGCAGAAGAGTTTGAAATATTGTTTGGAAGATTATCATTGGATGTGAAACTCATCTGAATAGGATAATTTCCCATCAAATAGTTGTTGGAATTTGAACAAGAACCTTCAACTTCCATTTCAGGTTCATAGGCTTTTACAACAATTGAAGATTGTTTTTGCTCATAAGAACCTGCATCTGACTTAGAAGTACTTTCTGATATTTCTGTTACCTTCTCTTGGCTTCTGGCTTTTTCATCCTCTTCTTCTCCATTCTCAACCTCAGAAAAAGGCTTATGAGTCACAGGATCTATACCTCTTTGCCTCAGTTTCTTCTTTAAGTAAGAGTTCCATAGATTCTTTATCTCATTATCGGTCCTTCCCGGTAACTGTGCTGCAATTTGAGACCATCTAAACAAAACACATCATATGCATGTCAACAAGGTTTGCGCGTGAATTCTTAAGTAACGAGTTCGATTCGTACACAAAATGCTAAGGAAAGATATTATGATGAGAAGAAGGGTTGGATTTACCTATTTCCTAGTACTGAATGAAGTTCAATGATGAGATTTTCTTCATCTTGTGAAAATGTACCTCTTTTTAAATCAGGTCTTAAGTAGTTAATCCATCTAAGCCTACAACTTTTACCACATCTTTGAAGACCTGTGAAAAAATACATTGAAAAAGAAAATTAATCAACAAAAATTCATTCTCTAATATCTTGATTGTATGATAATATATACCTGCTTGCTTAGGAACTGAACTCCAACATCCATGACCATAGTTAGTAATATGATTCAAGAGTTTTTCATCTTCTTCAGGTGACCATAGACCTTTCCTAAGCTTCTGCTTGTAGCAGCAAGAGTGTCTTCCCATTTGTGGTTTGTTTGAAGTTTAGCCTCTTTCTCTCTCTCTCTCTTACAAATACAATGAGGTGCGAAACTTTCTGATAAACAGAAAGATTGTTGAAGTTCTGCAGCAATAAACAAGACTGTGACAGGTAAAATATGAGAGAGAGGGAAAGAGAAAGAGAAAGATATAGATAGAAAGAGATTATATTATGAAGTATGAAAGATGGACAATGAAGTGGCAGCTTAGAAAAGGAGTTGAGGCCCCATGAGACATGTCATTGTCATAAAGGTAACTTCTATAATTCTTTCTTTTTTTTTTCTATTAGAAAATTTAAGTGTCCTTCTCTTTCTTTTACTTTTTCTTTTCTTCTTCTTTTAAATTAAAAGCTAGTTACATACTTGTGGGGAGGTCACACGGCTAGGGATGGACATAAACCATAGCCGGTTCGAAAATCGAGTAATCCAATAAGTTTCATAAATATATAGATGGATCTATTCGGGTCAATGGTTACATGTTAATAGAGATTGTAGTGGTATAATTGGAAGCGACTTTGAGAATAGGGTGAAAGACATACGTTTAAGTTTGTTGTTCTTATCGAGTTATCCTTTTATTGGGTCGAGTGTCCCTCTCTCGAATATGGCACCTTTTTTTTTTTTGATATATTGTCTCTGTCCTTGGTGCCTCCATTTATAACACATGATTATGTGTAAAATGTGTATTGGGTCAACGAATGTTGCATAACAGATCGAGGGACTCAACCACGCTTCCTGTATTTCAGAGAACAAACTATCCACTTTCGAGGTGGTTGTGGTATCCTAGGGAGATAGTGATGCAAACCCAAGGAATTGCAAATGCCTCAATATCGTTATGCACATAACAACATAACTACAACATAGAAAATATTTAACAACATATCTTAATATCGTTATGCACATAATAACATAAATACAACATAGAAAATACATAACAACAGTAGTTTCTCACCTCACGTGAGATAGCTCTTAATACCATAACATTAAAGTTTTTGGCGTCCCTTATTTGCTAGAAATTGTCACACATTTGCACTTTTATCAAATACATATGTAACTTTGGGTGAGTGTGGATCCAAATTCTAGATCCACGAGTATCTACACCTAGCCTATATATAATATTTATAATAAATAGAAAAATGAATAATGACATATTATCTACTTTTTCATAGATATACTTGTCATTTTAGTATTTAATGTTTGAAAAGATTTTGATGATTGAAACAATAAGATAAAACACATGAACATCTTTAAAAAATAGGGTTAAAAATTAGGGTTGATTAATAAATTTGTGATAATCCATATTAAGCATAAATCAAAAAGCTTGATACGAATTTTTTTATAATAGTCTGCAATATTAAATATTATAAACATCATCAAAGGAATTGTCCTAAAGCTCTAATTTGAGGCTTACGGGTATTTATATTTCAATAAGATCTTAATATAAATAGCGGGTGGCTCTCTCTTTGACAATATAAATATATATATATATATATATATATATATATATATATATATATATATATATATATATATATATATATATATATATATATATATATATATATATATATATATATATATATATATATATATATATATATATATATATATATATATATATATATATATATATATATATATATATATATATATATATATATATATATATATATATATATATATATATATATATATATATATATATATATATATATATATATATATATATATATATATATATATATATATATATATATATATATATATATATATATAAACACATAATATTTTTCAAACTTTATATTTTTTTAACTCTTATGAAATATATTTTAAAAAAGGCAAACCTTAATTTAGATAAAGCATAATTGATTATGATGTGTTGGAAATCGATTATGAAAAAAATTTCATACTATAATCGATTTTGGTGGTGGTATAATCAATTAGGATGTGTCTCACTTAATAATCAATTATGAACACTTCATAATTGATTATGCCTATGAAAAATTCCTGATTTTTAAGTGTATAATCGATTATAGTCTTCACGTAACCGATTTTGAATGTGAATATTGAAAATTTAATAAAGTTGTAGAAATAATGTGCATACTGCGAGTATACAAGATAAGTTTATGTTTCTAATGTTTAACAGTCATGGTCATCTTGTAGATTTTGGAGACTAGGATCGTTGGTGATCATATCGCTCTAGATGATGTTTCACAAATTCTCATATCAAGCGATAAGAGGAGTGGACTTTTGACGATGGTCATCGTTCCCTTACGAGGGGGAGTTTTCTCAATTTGTCTTAAGGTTTTGAAGTAATACACTAAATAGAGGTTGAAAAATCGGAAAACTCTTATTGAAATTCTATAAAGTGGTTTATTAAATGCCTAGTCATTTTAAATTATTTTTTTACTAATATATGGATTGAGCTTAAAGCATTTCATGAGCAAAGTGGTGCAATCTAAAAGCAAATAAGGTGGCAACACATTATTCCAAGGCCTAAAGGAAAAAAGAGAAGTTGAAAACCGCCCAATGATCGATCAGTCCAAAGGGATAATCGATTACATATTACTTACTCCTCAAGTTTTCAAGTGACTTCAAATAAAATCTCTTCCAATGTTAAATCAAATCAAATCATTATTGAAGATTGTGCTAACTTTCAATACTTTTAAAGGTCTAATGATTAAGCATTAGCCATAATCGATTAGAGGACTAGTTTTGGAAAGATTTTTCAATCTTCTCACTTATGGAGAAAATCACCATTAATTTCATGGATTTTCACACAAAATTTAGTCTCTACTCTATTTCATTATCATCATCATGGCACCTAAGATATTGAGAACCTTCAATCCATCCTACCTCTCTGATGACTTCTCATCTTAAGAACAAGAAAGAAGATTCATCTGAGAGTTTACAAATAGGGGTATCCTACTCGTTCATTCCCTGGATGCAAGTTTGTTTCAAGATTTTGATTTCTTCAAGAGTTTTGAAGAATCAAATTTAAATGGTTTTATTAGAAACTCCCCAAGAATAATGTATTCATCCTTGGTAAAAATGTTCTACTCAAATCTCTACTATATAGATGGGATTATCTCTTCCTAAGTAAAAAAAACATGATATCTATGTCATTGAAGGTTTTGCTAAAGTTTTGGATCTACCTTGTACCAAACCTTTCTTCAAACCAAATGAACTAGAGGAAATAACAACTACAATTATGAGATTTTGCCTCATCTTTTTTGTTAAATCCAAAATCTGGTATTTCTTCTTCATTCACTATATAGGCTCTGTGCGCCCAAATAATTATCTCATTCACTATGTGGCAAACCATACTCTTCTTCCAAGAAAGAGAAACTTTAGTCATCTAACGAGATTTGACGTTGTCGCGGTATGGTTATAAAGTTTCTAATAAAGTTGAGAAAATTAGGCAAATGCAGTGATCCATCACATGTTGGGAAGAAAAAATAAAGGTATGTGTCTACCATATAGTGATTTAATAATGAAGATCTTGAAAAATGTTGGGTTTAACCTTGGAGGAGAGGAAACATAACAAGATATAACTATAATAAGAGAGATTGCACTAGGGAAAATGTGCTTCAAAATTGTCAATAGTGAGATATTTTAAAAGCCTCCAAAATGGAATAAAAGCTTTGTAGATCAATAAGCATCAACATCATCTCCTCGACAAGAAGACTTTGAAAATCTTAAGGATTTTGACTAGGATATCCCTTAAAACCCTACATTGAAGCCATTATCAAAGAAGCCATCAAAAGGAAAAAGAGGACATATAAAAAGATTAACTTTTTAGCTCATTATTTTACTCAAGATATAGTTAACTTGCCTACTGGGTTTTCACTAATAATGACGAGGATACTAGATAATTGTCTCAGTCATGTGTCTCTTGCTTTAGTCTCAATTATTTATCTGTTTGTGCTTGAGTTTAGTTAACTTTAATAACTGAAGTATGTTTTTCCTTAAAGTCTAGTGCATGCCTTTGGTGATATATGTGCTTGAATACTTTCTATATTTGTTTATTTGCTTTCCCACCTTTTTGATAATGGAAAAGAGGGAGAAGTATACTCTCTGGGGGAGTAGGGTAAACTCTCTATATTTGTCAGTGAATTTTAATCACTCCAAGTTTATCACCATTGTTTCTTTATTTGTCCACATCCATGAGAAATGTGGCGTCATTATAAAAAAGAGGCAGAATATGGATATGTGTGCTTACAGGTATGACGTTTGCATTAATCTATTTGGTTTTAATGTTAAAAGATGCTTTTAAGAGAAATCCTTAACAGTCTTGTAGTTGAAGACTTGGTGGTTCAGATGATAACATTTGATATGTTGATCAAGTGATGACGTTTAATATGTTAATCAAGTGATGGTGCTTGAACTATGTAATTTTTCCATCAATGAATGAAAAAAAATTCCCTTTTTTATTGTAATGATATTGACTCTGAATGATTTGATTCTTATTTGAATGCATATACACATCCAAGAAATGCGCAGCAAAATAGCTCATCCAAAAGATAACCAAGCAAAAATTGTATCACACATTTATTATAAAAATTATAATAAATCGAGAAAACCCTAAGAAAAGAACAGATAAGATGGTCTCGCAACCAAGAATGGGTTCGGAAGCCAGTTATGCGAAGGGAAGGTATTAGCACCCCTCGCATCCATCGTACTCGATGGGAACCATTTTTTTGTCATATGTATGATGATATCTGCTAAAGGTTATTGCTTTCTAAGAGTGTTCCAAGGGATAACGGGGAAGAAGAGACTCGATAGGACATCTCCGCCCTATGCCTATGTATTCTCAACAAGTATGAGAAAGTCAGAGTCAACATAGTTCGGGAAACTACGGATGGAAGATAGAAGTGTGCTCGACAAGGATTGGGGCCCTTGTGCCTACGTATATTTACTTAAAAGGAGTAAAGAATCAGAGCAACCGTAGTTCGGCCAACTACGAAAAGAGGAAAAGTGCGCTCACCAAGA